TCACAGCTGTGAATGCCTTCCAATATTTACAAATAATTGATATTTTTTATAGCTATCTAATAATTTTCCTGTATACTTAACTGGCTTTTAGCTTTAAAAGGCCCTTTATAATCTCATAAAAAGCATTGGATATTTGCTAGAAAGACATGTCTCAGCACCTTAAATATCTCAAGTTTAGTCGAATTTTGACTATATCTAGCTATGAACTGCCTCATTTTTAAGGATGAGAGTACGCTTTTAAATGATTAAAGCATTTTATATAATAGAAAAGCACAGTCACAACGCCATATTAATTATATTTGTCTTATCAAAACATTTTGGTCTTAAAAACTGTCTTTTTAATCGAATTCTCTTAAATAAATCGAGATTTGGCCACCAGCGCGTCGCATTCACATTCACATTATTCCTTAAAAAATTTTACGATTCACTAAGATGCTTTAATAATCATTCTTTATACTAATCACAACTTTTTAGGTCTTTAATAGATTTTATTTTCAACACTATCACCTTCATAAATGCTTTAACATACACTTTTCAGATTATCGCTAGACTCTACTGTTTCACAAGCCCCTTGTTTACTTAGTCTAAGTATCTCGAAGCCAATTCGTCAAACGATTCCTCGCGCTCGAATTTTCTCCCTTCGAGTATCCTGCCTAAATCAGGCTCTTCACCTCACCGGCCGAATCATCAGCCTTTATGCATCGATACCAACATTTATCGCCGCGCGCCTCTTTGGTCCTATTAGTGAAATTTTGCGAAAGGTAATTCTTAAATGGCCGAAGAGCCTGGCTGATGCAGCCTGCCGGCTGGTGATTAAACCACTCGATGAATGGATTTCTTGCGATTCCAATGCTGCGGCTCTTGGAAAATTTATCGCTCCTGCTCCTTTGCAGATGGAAAACCGCTTATCTGTACTCTCATCCTTGCATAATGGTGATAGTGCTTATTCTGCAGTTCTATGCTCTTCGCAGCCAACTGTCGCTTTGCAGGAAAGAAGAAAACTTCGGCAGCTCGGCGTCTTGGAGCAACTAGAGCCAAACTTCGAGGAAAGGTGGGCCTATTTTGCGGATGGAAGAGAATTTTTGAATTTGGTCCAAATAGTTTCATCACCTAAATAAAAACCAAAATAGCTTTAAAGTAACTGCTTATCTAGAGTAAAGTAAACCTCGTTACATCGAAAATTGTCTATACTTAGATAAGTCAATTTAGTGCATGTCCTCCATTTCGATTTCTATTTTATATTCATGAATTATAGCTCTAACTCCATTTTTAGCCTAGTTTGTATAACATCATAGCACACCGATTAAC